GAGAGAGAGAGAGAGAGAGAGAGAGAGAGAGAGAGAGGGTACCCGGACTGATCCACAACTGATCTAGAGATCTTCATCTTCCTGGTGGACCCTGTGTAGAGATCTTCTAGGCTACATGGGAGCTTGTTCTCACAAGGTGCGGCTCTCCTAAGGCTGGGTCCGGCATGCAAGGTCCCAACCCCTTCAGAGAAGGTCCGAAATGTACTTTCAGGCATCCCAAACCCACCATCGCCATGGTATCGTGTTGACCTTCAAAAAACATGTGGGATTGGATTGTAAACAATGAGACTATTACCCTTTGCATGTGTAGTTCATATAACGCCTCAATCTGTCATAATCAATTTTTTTCTCTCATAGACCAAATAAAGTGGTCAATGGTACACCCTTGACATCCCATTTTACATGGACAACTAGGGGTGATTATGACTTTTTTATACTGGAGTTGATAAATCTTATTGCAGGCTTGTATCATTCAACATGATGCTTATTTGCCAATGATGAAATAGGATGATAACATAACTATGCTTAAGGGCCCAATTGCACCACATTCGACCAACATTTGAGAGAGAGAGAGAGAGTGCCAAAATGTGATAGCATTTTAATGCGGGCTATCTTACCTTCCACCAACGGAGCCAAACCCAAACGGGCTGCTCCCAAAGAATTCGGCAAATATGTCTTCGGCATTACGAGGGTTGAATCCAAATGAATTCTGACCATTGGATTCAGGTGCCGCCATTGAACCACCCTTGAGACCTTCCTCCCCATGTTGGTCATATACCATCCTCTTTTGTGTATCACTGAGAACCTGTGATGATTATGGTGGGTATTTCAATGATAACAAACGATTTACAGCAGCAGTTTTATCCATGTAGATGGGAACCGTATTGTAGAGAGAGAGAGTGAAAGTTTTCGAGCAGCAGTACCTCATATGCCTCAGATATTTGCTTGAATTTTGCTTCAGCTTCTGTCTTGTTTTTGGGGTTCTTGTCGGGGTGCCATCGCATGGCAAGCCTGTGATACGATTTCTTGATGTCTTCATCGCTTGCGCTCCTACTCACCTTCAATATGTTGTAGTAATCTACTCCCATTCTTTGTTCCACCTCAAAACTAGAGAGGAAAAAGAGATGAACAAGAAGAAAACCTGCAAATCCTATAAAAAATTGAAAAAAACCCGACCTCTATGAGTTTTGATTCTCAAATTTGCCTGCCAAATAAAAAAAACTATAAGTAATAATAATAATTTGTCACAACTCCAAAAAGCTAAGCGTGCTCACGTATATAGAACTCCTCAATTTAAGTCAAAACTAGGATGGATGACGCAATAGATTCTTGTGTCCCATCCACCCTGAAGGAAGGGAGACAAGAAACCTTCAACAAATTTAGACAAAATGTTGGAAATTTTTTGTGGGGTAGGGGCACTAGGTCTTATGTGTGGGATGAGAGAGAAAGTAGGGGGAATTGAAGTTCGTAACCGCAAACATGCATGGAGAGAGAGACTTGTCTGGTCCAACATAATTGTAGCTGAGGAAGTAACAAAAATAGAAATTTTCCTTTATACCCCTACATGAACATAATATTAGATTGATGCCCCCCATTTGAATCTAATTTGAATGATTATGGTGAAAATATAATCCCACGTGTCATTTCCACATCCATATCCCTACGTAGAATGAGCACCATTTACCCATTTATCTATTAATATAACAATATGCCCCACTGGATTTTAAAAGAAGTGTTAGTCATTAGTGGAATAAATGCAGTTGTCCAATTCGGCATCAAATGGTTGAGATTAATAATGATTATTTTGTACCAAATGTAAATGATTCTATTAACTTTTGGTTAATATATTGTTATCTTTTGATAAAATTCTCATTTCAGTCATGCTCGCTAGAATGGCTCTTCGTAATTCCCATATGGATGCATGCATGCCCATGCTTATCTTCTCTTTCATAAGACTTCCTCTCTATATTTCTTGATGATCCGTGTTTTAAAACCCGGTAATTTTCAATTTGGATCGTCGATTTGGATAGAAACAAGTAGGGACCGAACTGATTTCAGGATGTTATGGGTCCTGGCCTGATTCTCCCTAGAATCTCCTTATATATATATATAGGAAATAATGATTATTTTTTATTAAAAATTTATTTAAATAGGTACCTTTACCATTAAGGAAAGGTAAATTTGAAATTTTCACAAAAATACAATGACATTTTGAAAGTTAGTGTCATGAAACTTCATTTGTAGAGTGCTCTTTGTCCTTTAGTTAAATTATCAATTTTACCCCTTATGGAGATGATAAAAATACTCTTTGTCTTGTAGTAATATTTACAAAATTATCCCACAAAAATAACTTTTTTTTAAAAAATAAACTACAAAATCAATAGATCATTTAAAACCCTTCAAATTACGAAAGCTAAAGATTTGATTATTCGCAAATAATAAAAATGACAAGTCAAAAACAAAATTTAAAATAGGCTGTTTTTAACCTTAAGAGCCAAAATTTAAAATAGTCTTTTGCTTTAAGCTTCAAAGTTTGTTTATTTTTTCTTAATTGATTCATAACTCTGGTGGTGAACATGAAAACCCTTTTTGGGTTGATTATTTCCTTGTTTAGACCTTATTTTCATTTAAAATCGTTACAAAGAAATCCTCTTTTTATAGAACAAAACTGCCTTTCCCTTGGCAATAGCCCGAGAAGAAGTGAATGAATCCTGGGAACTCAAAAAGTTTTTTTTTTTTTATAAGAAAATGTGGAGACAGGCATTTCCACCCATGTTTGGGTAGACATGACATATGTATGTAACCTTGGACTTAGGGTTGGCAATTAAATAGGGTCAACCTGCTGATCCAGTTTGACTCAATATGGATTTGGGTCTAGATCTAAATATTGGACCCAAAGGGATAAATCAAGATCTAAACAAATAGGATCCGACTTAAATCAGGTTGGGTATAGAGCCATCCTAGACTTTATTGGATTGGATCAAATCCAGGTCAAGGTCAACCCAACCCAATCAAACCCTATATTTATATTCAATACAGGGAAAAGTGTTGCAAAAGGAGGATGAAATGGGTGAGAAATAAAAGAAAGAAACATATGATGTTTCTATCTCTCTAACCTGGACATGAATGCTTGCTTTTGCCCTATACTGAATTAATCTAAGTTTCTACGAGACAAATTTGTAACCAAATAGGAATAAAGGATTGTGATTGCTTTTGCCCTATACTGAATTAATCTAAGTTTCTACGAGACAAATTTGTAACCAAATAGGAATAAAGGATTGTGAAACTATCTCGTCAATACAAATGTACAAATGCTGGGAAACTCTTTAAAAAGCAAGATAACTTCATCTTTAGAATTGGAGGAAACAAGTCTGCCAATAGTCACACGGTGTCGTCCTTGAACTACAATCTACTCGAGAATTTGCTCACTGCAGTAAAAAAAAAGATGGGCCACAAGCTCAACTTGCACTCGTGCCTCTCGTGCTGATGCTCGTGTGCAAGTTCATTTGTGCCATGCGAAGCATAGACTTTTTCTCCTTTTGGTTTTTTAGAACATATAGGCGATATCTACATACTTAAGGAAGGCATACCTCATCCACAACTTCAATATTTCAATAAATAATTCATTACTCTCTCTACAAATAAGAGAACACATTTTTCAAAGAATTACACTTTCCAAAGCACTAAGGTACACCTGCCAAGGATACAACATTCAAAAATAACTCTGAGTATTTTCCAAAAAAAAAATAAATTTATATATTTCTAATAAATTTTATTTCTATTTTGACTAGACCAAGCCCAACCCAAATCTAAGTCTAGCTCGGACCGCCAGACCCATTAACACCCCTACTTGAAGCTAAGCATAGTTATTTACTAAAGTAGAATTTTAATAATACAATATAAAATCTGGGCCGCAAAGAATCCAATTTCTAATTAATACATGGATACATAACAGGGGCTAATTCTCAAAGGGATTAAAAAACTAATTTTTCTAGCAGAAAATTTTGCCATTCATAAGAGGGATTTATGCCACTAGCTTTTGATAATTTTACAAAGCACCCCTAGGGTTTTGCCTTATTGGAAGTCTTATCCATATCTCTCTCAGGCCCCTAAATGGGTTGGGTCAGGTCCTTGACCTTGATTGGGACCTCAGTCCATATGAGGCATGGCCTTGATTCGACTCGGACTCTTATAAGGTCTGAATCGATACACAAAAATAAAATGTAAGATTGACTCTTTAAAATATAAAATTAAGACGCACTTCTGAAATCCTTCGAAAAATGCTGTTTTAATGTTAGAAAAACATCTAATTGATTATCTCGACATTTAGATGTATAGATATAGAGAAAATATGAGATTTTAGGTCCTAAAAAATAGTAGATCTTGCAAAACATTATCTTGATTGTCCATTTTCAATATTTTCATGGGTTTATAAATCTGCTTGATTTGAACTATTTTTTAGATATTAAAATTTTATAGTTAGAGATAAAAATAAATTCTCACACCATCTTAAGAATTATCGATACCAAATTGCATCTCATAGCAAAGTTTTGAGGTACACCATACTTTGATTATTTAATGTTGCAACCTTATACAAACCACACCCTTACTTATAACAAAAAAAAATTTCTTTTGAACTTTGAGCCTAGCAATGAAATAATGTAGCCACTCAATTTCACATCCGATGGTAAAGATTAATTGTCATGTACCAAAAATAACGGTCTCATTATATACTTTGCTAAAATTATAATATTGTTGCATATATTTTATGTTATATATCTTATATAAATTTTAATATCGTTGCATATATTTTATGTTATATATCATGTATGCAAAGTTTATGACCAGAACTAAGTCGGGTCAAGTGGACCAGGACCCGACCTGCCAAGTCTAATCCTTGAGTCCATACTCTAACCTGGTCAGGTCAGCTACAAATCAACCAAATATCATTAAAATGGCCAGACGATCTAATGGTCAAAATGAACTAATTTAAAATTAGAATAGTTATTTTTAAAAAAAAAATTGCTCAAGCACCTCCTCAAAAACTCTCTATTATGCCTAAGTTGCTATTTTTCCAAGTACGGAAACTCGAACAAGACATTTTAACCTCCTCAAAAACTCTCTATTATGCCTAAGTTGCTATTTTTCCAAGTACAGAAACTCGAACAAGACATTTTAGTAATTAGGCCTACTATAGTGAGTCAAATGAGAAGTATTTTAGTAATTTGGCCTACTGATATGGCTCGAGGCTTTTTGTTTGTTTAGGTTAAGAATCTAGAACATGTATTTAGTATAAAATGTTCTTAGTTCCTATATTTTACCAAAGGTTAAGAATCTAGAACATGTATTTAGTATAAAATGTTCTCAGTTCCTAACTGGATCCAAATTATCAAAATGGCCATATGCACATTTAGAGGTTTGAATCCAAAATAGAAGCGATTTGAACATTTCCAAAAATAATTTTTTAGAAGGTACTTAAAGTTTTAAAAATAAAATCAAAGCAACCAATTTAATTCTAATTTGACTTGACCACTTAAATGATTTTTTTAATTTATTTCACAATATAGTGTCGACGCTCTAAACAATCTATAAGAGCGCACCTCAAAAATTTAATTAAAAACTGTTATTTTGATGCTCAAATATTCTCAAATTGATCATCGCAACACTGCATGGACAAGAGAAAAAAAATACATTTCAAGTTTTGGAAATAATACATCTTATAACACATTTTTGGACCGTCAATTTTTAAGATTTCCAAATTTTTATAGATATACTTGATCTACACGATTTTTTTAAGCTTTAAATTTTATAACTAAAAATGAAAATATATTTTAAGGCTATCACAAAGATTTCCAATATTGAAACCACATTTCTCGACACTATTTGAAAGTGCGCTTTACTTTGATTGTTTAGAGCCTCGGCTCTATACAAGCCGCACCCATTAGTGACATTTCTCAGTTATCGAAAGCGAGAACCCGCCGCCACTGTAATCAACACCCTCACCCCACGGGGTTGGAAGAGGAGGGAGAGAGAGAGATGGCAGCTCAAAGATGAAAAAAGATATTAAATATATGAAAAAGAGATGAAACATTTTCTTTTTGTTTTTTTTTGTTTAAATACACATAATTAAGCCCCTTAATTCAGATGATAGATTTAGAGGCCGTGAGCCACATTGGGGGCGAAGTGGGAGCCAGTTGAACTGCTTCCCTCTCCACCTATCGACCATCTCGAAGGGGCGGCATCTACTGTAGCATACTGCGCAACAGAGGTGCCACTGATAGCAAGCTCAGTCGGGAGGTGAGGTGGGAAATCAGCTTCCAACTGCCAAAAAAAAAAAGGAGAATTAACCTTTTGTTTTAGTTTCTAATCAAGAAAAGTTAAGAGATGATGAGCCATGAAGAAAAAATGGTGATGAAATAGATAACAACGATGATTAAGATGGAAGGAATACCATACAAACACTGTTTTGTTGCATGGTAAATCATCTTTTGTAACTGATTTTGTATACAGTGAGAGAGAGAACAAAACCAGCTGTAGAAAGATGAACCAGTTTAAGAACACTCATACTCCCATGCAACATAATCCACTTTCAAAATGGTTGAAAAGGATTTCTTTGATTGGTCACACAACAAATCCAGTATTTAGTGAAAGAGATCAACCAATTTTAGAATACCCATTTCTCTCCCTCGCACATTTCGCATTATTTCCGTCTTTTTCACTCCTTCAGCCAGCCAATACTGTAGGAAAACCAGCTTACTCAGGGATGAGCCCTCTGTCTTCCATTGTTTTAACAATTTCATGAAAGGCATGTTCTCAAAGAAAAGACAGTGAGAAAGAAAAAACAGCAATGTCCCGGTTTCTATGCGCATATGTAGAAATGCGGGCTTCTCAATAAATCTATTTTTCAGATAGATTTTACG